CAGGGCCCAATCTTGGATGACAGCTCAAGAGAGCGTGTGTTCAAAAGTGACCTGCTCAATGCCACCAGAAGACAACACGTGCATTTTCCCTGTGCCTTGTCTTGTGAGAAATGATGTTCATCATATTTAGGAGTGTATAGGCTGCAAGAGAGCCCCCTCCCTCAAAATTTTCAGTAATGTTTGATACTCACCCTCTCGTTGCGCGGTCCAGTGAGACGCGCCAACGACATATAGGCGACATATGTAAATGAACTATACATTGAGCGAAGCTCATCCCCAAATGCGGTCAAGACGCAAAAGTTGGAAAGGCGACCTTCCACGACTCTGTCGTGCGGCCGGCCCCAGCTTTCAAAGCCGAGGCCAAAGTAAACAAAGACTGGTCAGACATGTAAAAAGATGCACCAACAATGGCGCCTTGGCAGAACACTTTACCTGCCGATTTGGCAAAACCAGGTTGCATTTCTCCTGGAAAAGGTTGGCATGTAGGGTCTTTAGCCAACCATTGAAGGCACTGTCTAATCTGGGTGAACACGTCATGCATCGTGAGATTTGCATGATGGTCAAGTTTCTCACCAGCCGTGTAAAAGGCAATGGCAAACTCACAAAAGGCAGAACTCTCAGCATGATGCACTTTCCACTGCAGCTTTCTTAGGTAGTTACAGATGCAAGTCAAGTTATCTTCCGAGTGCCTCCAACGTTTGGGTGCGGCAACATTGGTTGGAAGCTTTGGTTTCCATGGGTAGCACTCAACAAGAGCCCCCCACGGCCACTTCGGGAAGAAGGTGGGGGCCTTGTCAAATGCAAGCTCATCCGATCCTTGTGATGTAGTCCTATTCTGGTCTTTAAATGCAGCGTGATTGCAAACACCCGTGGTGTCCAGCTGACAATGAAGTTTCGTGAGCAACTCTTGGTGAAGGGCAACCGCAGCAGGAAGAACACGTTGGATTTCCGGATGAACCGGCGAGGCTAACAGGGCTTGTCGCTTGGCCTCAGCGTCCGCTCTGCGATTGTAAATAAGGCGACGAACCGTTGTGCCCACCGCAGCAGCCGCCGCGTCGGTCAAGTCTTGGTTGGAAGTGGATTCCAGCCGGTGAGCGGGGATCCACTGCGCGTGCAATGGCGTTGGGTGGTTATAAGCCGTCGTCGAACCCAGACTTCGTGAAGCTTTCTCCACCATGTCACACATCTCCAGTTGTTGTCAACCGCACCCGTGTGGATCATCCGCAAACAATGGTCAACCACGGTTTTGTTGTCCGTGTAGATGCAAACTGGCGTTTCACTATGTGCAAAAGCCATCCACACCGCTTACAACTCTGGCACATAACTGCTGAGTGTCAGTTCAAACACTGGTCCGGACATCGTAACTTCTCCTGCTGCGTCAATGATAGCAAAGGCAGCTGTGGCAACCCAGAAGTGCTTTTGCCAGAGCAATGAGCCGTCAGTCCAGTATTCCAGCACCGGAGCGGCAGCATGAAAGGTAGCCACTTGTACCTCATCAACCTTAGTTTGCCGGATACGATGCTTGGCCAAAGCAACAGGGTGTTCGAAAATTCCCAACAAGGGAAAGTTTGCTCCAAATTCATGAAGCGCGGGGCGTGATGTCCAGGCATGGTATTTGGAAAGACCACATGCGCAAGAGTTTCTTTGGTTTGGCCACAGAATCGACACAAGGAGTCCTTGGCCCAACCCGAGGCGCATAATCTATCCTTGGTAAGGGTGCACCCAACCAAAACGGACTCAAAATGCGAAACAGCAGAGGGAAAGTGTGGAGTCTGAAAGGTCGGATTCCTGAGAAACTCGGTGCTCAAACTAAAATCACTCAGTAATGTTTGATACAATTTTTTGTTGGGGACATGGTAGCGGGAAAGTCTTCCACTGGGGATGCAGCCTTGATGAGATTGAGTTTGTGGACCCATCCGGGCACGTGATTGGAGAACTAGCAGTGCAGAAAGTTGCTGAAAGCCGGGCCAAGATCCGCGTGTGGCTCACTGCGGCGGCCGAGTCTGCGCTGGCCAAATTGAAACACATGAAGTTGCCAGCGGCCCAGGTCGAGTTCAAGCAGCAGTCAGCTCCCACACCATGCGACGCAGCCACTTTTCATGGGCTTTCGGCCAAGGATTTGGGCCGCGGTGTGGCAGGAACTCAGAAAAGCATTCAATTCTTGCAGGATCTGCCAAAGCTGTTCGAAAAAGCAACATGCACCACCAAGCATGGCCAGTCATCCGTTCCATGCGTTGAACTTTGCCATCGGATTCCAATTTTCTTTGAATCTGCTATGCAGTGCAAGCCGCGAGATTATGGCCGGCACGTTCACGAAAAGTTGGCGCAG